TAAGAGCAAGACAGTGACCAAGAGTCTTACCCGGTAAGTGAGGGCGACGACTCTTACCACGGTAAGCACTTACCGGGTAAATTGTTGCATACGATACCGTTTTGGTGGACTAAAATCTTATCTGGTAAGTAAATGATAGTGTTAAATTTATCGGTAAATGCTTACTGGGTAAGTGCTTAGTAAACAACCTCTAAGTTAGAGATGAATGATAGAGAATATAACAAGGTTTTCTCGACAAGTAATTTTAGAATATGGTACTAGATAAAAAAAAAAAACTTGAAGAGATAATAGAAAATACTATAAGATGAATAATTAATTTTTTAGTTTTTTAAATATTTTATATTCCAATGTAATTAATTAATAAATATTTGGACCCTTAATATAATACTAAATTATTTTTGGATCATATTTTTTTCCTTTTTATTTAATAATTGTTTTATTTTTTCGGGCCTTAGGGGTGCGCCCTCCCTTAGGAACAACCAAAAGTTTATTATGTAATTAAGTTACTTGTAATAGTCACCATTTTGTTACTTATCTCATTGGATAACAATAGGCATGGTGATTTGCCTCGATTCCGGTGGGGAACCCAGTTCACCCACCTCGATTGGGGGCCGAAGATCCCTGCTAAATTAGATCTCGGGCCTGAGTTGGGGATCCTCGCTAGACTAAAACAATGGACGGGGCTGGGTAAACACATTTCCCGACTCGCTCTGTATCAATTAATATATTAATTATTAGTTTAATTATTATTGTATATGTAAATTACCTTATCTTGTTACTGATAGAGTTAGTTTTCTTTAGGTTTTTATTCAGTTTTAGTCGTTCTTCTATTTGCTTTTTTGGGGCTGGAACATGGCCTGAAAGGGTGTTGGAATGTGGTCTGGAACAATACTTGAAATGGGATTGGCACGTGGTTTGGGATGGTGTTGGACTGGGGTTAGGCGTATTAAGCACTGGAGAGGGGATCCTATTGTTCGTACCCGCCAAGGAAAGGGGACGAGGATAATGACCGTGAACGTACTGGGGTCGGTGCTGGTAATTGCATTCCCCACCCTGTTGCCATGTCTAGGTAATATTCTCGGCCATGAAAACGGATTGTTGATAAACATTTTTACTTGGTGAAACACTTACCGGGTAAGATTATCGATCCTTACTACGCCTCTTACCAGTAAGATTCTCAATCTCTGTAATGCTCACATTGTTAGTAAGTGACACTCAATAGATAAACGACCTCTAAATGATTTACCTAATTGCTGATTTAATGAATTCCGGTGCTCTTGGGAAATTTTAATCTGGATACATGTTTTATAAAACTCACTAATATATCCTTTAATTAGAGAAAAGTTTAAAAAAAAAAACCCAACTAGCTTTTCATTTTGAATGGTTTAGTCCTTAAACTCTTTTTTTGAATTAAACTTTCTCATTTTAAATTATCAAGTCTCTGAACTATTTTTTTAATGAAAAAACCATTAATCTTTTTCATTTTGAATGAAAAACCATTAAATTTTCTATTTTTTAATAATTAATACCCTGAATTTATTTTTTAATAAATAAACCATCGAACTTTTTTTACTTGGTTATATGTAACTTTTTTTTTGGGTAAAAGAACGTAGGTAATCAATTTTTAAAGTGCGATGATTTATTTATTAAAAAAATGTTCAGGGATGTAATCATTCAAAATGAAAAGTTTTAATGGTTTTTATTTATTTAAAATTATACTTTAGAAACTTAATCATTCAAAATGAAAAAGTTTAATGATTTTTTCATTCAAAGAAAGTTTAGAGACTAAACCATTCAAAAAAAATGATTGAGTTTTTCTAAACCTTTCCCTGTCAATTAAACTGCAAATTGTGTAATATTTCAGTATGTTTAAGATTCTGGAAATATGAAAATACACAAGGTATTAAATTATTTTAATTTCTATAAATTCAGAAAACATTTAAGAGTATTTTAATTTTCGTTTTAGTTTATGTGAGTTGCTCAATAAATAATCGAGATTTAAAGCATTTTTTTAGATTGAGATTTCTGACTATTGTATAAATTGATAATTATATGAAAAATGCCATTAATTATTCATATTATTTAGTGGTCCAAAATAACGACATTATATTTGTTTGATATCAATAGTAAAACACAAAGAATTACATCAAAATTGACATACCACATTACTATTTAATGTTGTAGACATTCCTTCAATTAATTCAAAAACATACATACATACATACATACATGCAAACACTACATACATACATACATACATACATACATACATACATACATACATACATGTTAATTCTTATGTATGCACTAATACACATGCATATATTTCTTGCATCACACTTACCTCTTTTAGATATATACATTTGCATATGCATTAAATAAGTTATCAGTTTTTGTGTATACTTTACTATTTTACAACTGTGTTACTTAGCACGTATATGAAACATACATATATAAATATCCACACTAAGAGCGCATGTTGGGATAACATTTCATTTCGGCTGATCAAATGAATGTTTCACTTTCTATACTGACATGATGATATGATAACCATGTTGACTCTTTCTGTAACAACGAATCTAATTCACTACTCATGTAATCATGATGTTCGATCTGTTGTTGTTTTAATGGTAGCTCCATGATTTGACTTTTCTTAATTAATTTATCTTTATCTTCCACTTTCATGGTGGATAGTTTCTATTTATAGAACACCACTGAAAACTTGTATTATTGTGAAGCATAGTTTCTCCACTTAATCTTGCACCATCAACCATCAATCTCTCTATAAAACCAACTTCAATCTTTGCTTATTGATTCAACATTAACTCTCTACAATAAATGAGGTTCACCATGGTTACTCTCCTGGTGGTGTTGCTGGTGGTGGCAGCCACTTCTTGCTTGGCCAATGACCACCATCGAAAAACTTTGAAGGATGAAATGTTTCATGATATCCACCAGCGAAAGCTCGAAGAACCTATAGACAACACCATAGGCAACCACCACCACATTTCCTTACCGGAGTATCGCAACGGTGGTGGTGGTGGCTCCACCAACAATGCAAACCCGATGAACCACCATTACATTCCAAGGCAAGATTTCAATAATGGTGGCTCCAGCGGAGATGATAATAAGAATGAGACGAAGCCTTGAAAGTACATATAGTTTCAGTAGTTTAACTGTCAAGTATCCCTAGCTGATATGTCTCTACTTGTGAGGTTGTACTTTTGCTATAGATGGTTATGGGTTACGTTGTGGTAAGAGTACCCTAGTGCTAGAAATCTTGGTATAGTTTGATGTTGTAACATACTATAAATAAGAGACATAAATTCAATGCTAGGTTGTTTGACTTGCTATAAAAGGAAACTATTTTCTTATTTGGAAGTTTAGGTTTAACTATTTTATATACATGTTTTTGTGCTTTGACCACTTGTACATAAATGTACAAGTAATCTATGCATTGTATTATCATATGAAAGAGTTGTATACAAGCTAACATAGACATATTTACTTATATTTGTGAAGATAAAAAGCTAGAATCATAATCATGTCCATTAGATATTACAATATCTTGTTAACTAATTTGTTATGATGAAATTACAGTAATCAATTTTGTATCATGTTTAATCACAATTATTTACTTGCAAATCGGATTTTGTACGTTAAATATATTATTTATTTATCCTTAGTGAAATTAAATGATCGTTTATCAAACACTTTACCAAATTGGCGTCATCACTCTCACTTATTCTATTAGGTAACATTCTCAGCCATCAAAATGAATTGTTGGTAAGCATCACCAGTAAGAGTCACCATCACCGCTTACCGAGAAAAAACTCTCGATCTATGTCTTGCATCTTACCAGATGAAATTATCGGTCTTTGTTATGTTCATAGAATAAGGGGGTGTTTGGGATTGCTTATCAAAACGACTTATTGACTTATTTCAGTCTGGCACCGGAGATAAGCCATTTTGGAGTGTTTGGGTAAAAAAAAAAAACTGCTTATACCGGTACCAAACCGGTAATAAGTCGTTTTTGATAAGTTAATCCATAGKGACTTATGAAAATTGACTTATTACCGATTTACCATTTTAACCCTGTCTAAACACCCCCTAATTGATCACGTCTTCTCCAAAATCGATCAGATCTCCAGGTACGTCTTCTCCAAAATCGTGTTCTTCTCCAGGTACGATTTCTACAACCATGGAACTCGATTTACAACCATGGAACTCGATTT